CAAGAAAGTGCATTCGACGAGAATAGACCCAAGGCGTCACGCCGTAATCGTTACCTTGCAGTGTAATTGTCCTGATAGTATCCGATACGGTGATAATAGTCGAGATGGGTCGGCGGAGTCATCCATGGTATGTGGTACGTGTTTGTGTTAAACCGGCATTCGCACATGACACACGTGTTGAAGGTATCGTGTCCCGGCATATACTGAAGCCGAGTGGGGCGGTCAGGATTCAAGGAGGGGAGGGACGAGAGGACGTGGGACAACATCCCGGTCCCAAACCCAGGTCAGGGCGTCACCCCCTACCTACCATCCACCGCCCCACGTCTCCTCTGCCAACGCCATGGCTGTTCAATCAGAAACCCACCCTTAAGAAAGATTTGACACGATTGATTGATTATGCGCTGAAACTTACCGCACAAGGAAATGCGACAATTAAAAAGAAATTGATATCATAACACTATCTGCCATAATTTGTCATGAGGAACGTCAAGAGAGAGGTACCTTTTTCATTTTTTTCCCGCGTTTCGGCCTTTATTCAGGACATCTTCAGTGCATGTGGTGTTATATTGGTTTTCAATCCATTCAGCCCGATTAAAACCTTTCAATTAACTAGTTCTGTAATTGTAAAATAATTAATCACATATTGAATTTAAATTTGGCATTCAGAGGGTCACTGAAGTGTTTTCCAGCTCTTTGGCTAACAGCAATTTTCAACCCCCAACGCATGCGGTTTTTAACATAAACATACCTTCAACTCAACTTCTCCCTTATACGTAAATATTTTCTTTCCCGTGTACAAACTATTCACCCAAGGAAGACGATCGAGTATTCGATAATCCTCCCTCACCTATTACATAAAGAGGCGGAGAAAGAATCGATCTCTACTTGTATTGCTTGTACTTTTCTACTCATCCTTTAGTATTGGCTTTATCGAAAACAATCTTTTACGTCCCATCGCACGCAGCAAAAATAACGGCCTTAGAAATTATCTACTCCATATTTCCTGGTTACTCTGTGGCGCGTCATAAATGTAACATGGAATGTTTTATTATATTACAGTTGATAATTTTTCATACTGGTATGGGTACCGGAAAACTCTCAATGAAAATATAATCTAAAGTCACGGTTAAACCCTGTCCACCTTCTGTACACCTAAATTTCTTTTACTTAGGATCAAAGCTAGTAGATAGTTTGACTAATGGCAAAGCACGCGTTTAGGGCTATCAGTCGGTATGCGTGTCAGGCCTGGATAGATAAAGAATTCTGCAGGAATTTAATTTCTAATAACCTTAAAAAAAACAACTCTCCAAAATGCTCAAGGTCCAAATTAAATATTATTTCTTCAGGTTTTTAATTATTTAAGTTATGCATTTTACTTCATTGCTATGTTTTGTTATTATTTGTCTTTTTTCGACAATCTCTGGCAGAGAAACTTTGCCTATGCCATGCTGAAAACAATAATATATGATTGGAAATAAAGTAGATTATTATTATTATATTATTAAACCAAACAATTAAACAGGGTTAATGCGCATATGAGATTTGGAATGCAGTGAAACCTCTTGGTAAGGGAGAATCATAGTGTCCTTTTTCTTTCGGGACTTTTGTCCTTTAAAAAGAGATATTCATCATCTGTGGGTGTAGTTTTAAATGTAAATTGTCAATGACTTGACAATCATTTAAAACTTTCTCTCCTAGCGTTTTGCTAAACTTTTTTTTAAAATTAGCTAATGGTCTTACAATAGATCTCTCAAAATTTTCTTAGGATTCAAACACTTCTTTTTTTCTTTTTAAATGAACCTTTGCCAGTCGGAGCCATGTTAGAATTTTGAACTTGAAAAAATTGTTAAATTGAAATCATAAAATGCAAATATCGTACAGAAAATATGATCGAATGGGGTTTTAACAGGGATATCTAAGGAAAAGGGAAAAATCTGGTTTACCCCCTACTCACAGGTTTTCTTTACTGTACCCGACTATAAGACGACACGACAGTACAAATGAATCCTCCATGCTGGTGCATCTAATGTTACCGCCAAGATAACGGTAGTCCACATTATTGGAGGTTTTACTGTACTTTGCAGAAGTCAAAGAACGTCGACCCCAGCTTGTCTTAGGGTCACTACAAAAATTTTGCACCTGCTGAAAAGAAATGGATAACGAGTCCATTCTCTCTCCTTAACTCCGTGCCGACCTAACTGACCACTAAAAACTGTGTCCCCATTTATTTTTATGTCGCGAATGTATGACCATTTCCCTGGACGGAAAAAGCAGATACTTTAATGTTCAGCGGGAGGCAAAGCTGGAGACCCGATTTCATCCCGCCTTTTTATTGTGTAAGTGTTACAAAATATATGGAATATTCGTACATGGAAAAAACTTACACACCTTTCATTAGCAGATAATACAAATTACATCACAGCTGAAACCCTGCAAAAATGATTTAACGGAAGAAGAGAAAAAGCAGGACTGAAGCGAGAAAAAGGAAAACACTCCTAATGACAAATGGAAAAAAAGGAAACATTACTTTACTCGTAAAAACATTTGAATGAGTGGACAAAACAACATAGGCCAAATTTATAATCTTTGACAGCCGATTGGACCCCTTTAAATTTTGGGAATATAATAAAAATACATTTTCAGATATGAAGGAAATAACATTTGTTAAATAAAGTAATTCCTGTCAAAGGAAGGTTAAACGCTCAATAACTCGTCGAATTAACTGGCCGGAGTGAGATGATGCGACGTCAGGGATAAAAGCAGGGAAATGCACAAGAAGCTGAATCTTAATATGAATGTACTTGTGCCGACTGAAAATCGATGAGGAAGCATATTTTAAAACATGGTTACATATAATAGATGGTATTTCAGTTACTATACGTCTCTCCTCCTTACATCATCCAATCCCTCCAATTGAACTCCTCACATCACACTCGTAAGACCCGCTCATCCCCAATCGACCTTGTCCTTCCGCAACATACAACCCATACCTTCGAAAGATCCTTTCTGATCCGACCCCCTAAACTCTGGTACTCCCTTCCCCTTTCTATTCGTCACGCTGCCTCCTTTTCCTCCTTTAAATCCCATCTTTATAATCACCTCCTCTCCCTCCAAGCAGAGACCTCACGATAACATTTATTATTTTTGTTTAATATTCTCGTAATTTTCTCTTCTGGCCTGCCTTACTGGCATACATTGTGCAAAGATTTCTATCTTTTTTTTTAAATTTGTAACTTCATAGAAGGTACTTCCTTTATTTTATCTCATGTAAATTATTCTTAGGAGACACCAGTCCCAGAATAAAGTTATTTTTCTTCTTTCTTCTTCTCTACATAATCAAGACAATACCTCATCCTTGAATTATATTCAAATGGTTAGAGTGGCTTTACGTCAGGGTATAAGCAGGGAGAGGCAAGACATAAAAAATATTGAGCTTTAGCTCGTCTTGATGCATTACTTTATTCCAGGCGCTAGTTAAAACGTTATATTTTCAAACTTAGAGTAAAAAATATTAAGTTATGTCTGCCGTACCGAAGGGCTTAACGTCTAACTATCCATTGGGAGTCAAAGACGCGGTGTCTGATTTTTTTAAAACACTATTTTCAATTAAAAAGCCACAGGCTATGCCGGGATTCGGCCACTTCGGCCTCCTGGTATAATTTACCTTCAATTTAAAATAGAGCTTATGCTAAAAAAAATTTAGTTTTTTTTAGGTTGAATAGTTTTTGAGACTACCATGGGGGAACACTAGTAGTTAGCAACTTGTATATGTACATGAAATAATTTTTCTCAATCCTTGGGTTTTAAAAAACATTTATTTTGGTTTTATATTCTGACGTATACACTAAGAGGTAGACAAATGAATAATTTAACACCGAAAAAACAGCAATTTAATTTGATGAATGCACTTTGTTGCACGTTACATTGTTAGATAATGGATGCACAAGGTTGACTGAAATTTAAATACGATTATATGTCAGCTTGTTGGCCTTTTTTGATTTATAATAATGCCATTTCATCCTTTATCATTATTTTATAAATCGTAGGGACGGATATGGAAACGGCTAAAAAAATCTTGTAGATTGTAACTATTTTCCATTTTATGTTTCAACTATTTAGAAAGCAGTAGGAAGATTAACTCTGACTCTTCCGCTCGGTCATTCAGACGAGTACTTCACCAGCTTCTGTGTTTCTCGCCAAAAGGCTGATCAAGGTCAATCAAATGTTCAACTAGTAAACAAATATTCAAAATCTTCCAGGGTGTTAGTAAAAAAAGGGAATAATCGACTAAAGGGCCAGGAACGATAATCCATTCAAATAAATAATAAATGTTAGAAATTAATATAGAGATAAACAGCTAAAGTATATCTTTCTAAGCTCCATGGATAACAATATGTCTGAGTAACGATTATTTTTAACTGATACAACAAATTTGCAATCTTGCTCCAATATCGGAGCAAACAATCCATCATCATCTTCAAATATGTCTTGTGAATAGCTAGAGAAAAGCAGAAATAAAAGAAGCTATGGCTAGAATAGAGAATTAACTTCCTGTTGATTTAATACGCCGAATATTGACTTAGTTAATCAAATGTTTTATCTCTATTTTTACTTTTTTACATCAAATGTGGGAGTAATTTTTATATTCTGATTGAAAAATTCAAAGGATTACATAAACTGTAGAAACTGTAATAGTTTCTAAAGATACTTGTTAATTTCAAGAAAAACAAACAAGGCGGAAGCAATTAAAATATCTTCCACCTTGAATTCACAGCAACACTCAATAATTTTAAACCTTTAAAAGTATGACAATATATATTTTTCAGGCCGTCTCAGCTTTATTATAAATGCATCGTTATCCTCATCGTCAAGTACATTTACCATTCCATGAGATTAACCCCGCCCATAAAAACAATTGACAACGTAATTAAAAACAGATTTCGGCCAGTGGAAACGTTTTGAACAAGGTTATAAAAAGACAAAAGATGTTGATTATTTACCTTGGAAGTGATGGGGCGGATTCCGGTTGGGAATCGTCCTGTTCGTCACCCGGCTCATCTTCACTCCGAGAAGCCTCATCCATCATAACACCTGAAACAAAAATTTCACGTTTTACAATTAATGAACGTAGAAACACGATGATGCAATATTTATGTACATGCATGTGTATTATGTATAAAGCGTCTAAAACCGTAAGTTATTAAACCGCACGTAGTATACCGGCCAAGGACTAACATCAAATATTTCAACAAGGTTTAATTACACTTCCATGTAAGTTAGTACAGACCAAGTGAAAGCGTGTATATTAAAATCAGATTCCTCTTAAAAGTATTAATAACAATAATACTTTATTTGACAATTATTATAATTAATAAAACACACCCTTTTAAAAACGTAATTAAGTAAGTTCAAAATCAGGGATGCGGTCATCAAAAACAAGTAAATTTTGTAACTAATGCCAAACTTTCTTGACCCTTTATTGAGGTCTTCATCAGTAATAACAACATTTATAATATTAATAAATAATAGGTAACGCAATAATTCTCAGACAACAATGGGTAATTTAATCGTTACAATATTAAAAGTAAAAAAAAAGGAAAGTATTATAATGATAGCGGTTAAAAACACACACACAAAGTTGTTTTTAACCACTATCTTATAATATTTTACTTATAAGTATATATACATACGTATGTGGAATGATGACGTGGAGTGCGATTGGGGGTGGGGACGTGTTGTGACGGGGGAGAAGGAGTGGAAGGAAGGTTACAGAGAGTCGTGAAGAGAAAAGATCTGAAAAGACGTGTGAAGTTTAAAGTTATTTAAAATTGTTTCTTTGAGATACTAAATTGTAGTACATTTGTTTACTTTTTAATAAAGTAAAGTTTAAATTGAACAAGTCGTTTGTCTAGCCCCGACATTGTGTGTATATATATATATATATATATATATATATATATATATATATATATATGTGTGTGTGTGTGTGTGTTTTTTTTTAACCAAATGAGAGGTAACCATAATTACAGCCCAAGTTAGAATGTATGTATTAAAATCAGATTCCTCTTAAAAGTGATAATAATACTTTATTTGACACTTATTATAAATAACAAAACATTATTAGTATTATTAATAATACAATTATTATTAGTAATTGGTATTATTAACTGAAATGAGCATTTACAGCAATGAAATATCCATCTGCTTGGAGTCGAGATTACTGATAAAATATTGCGAAAAGATAATAAAATATAATAATATTCTGTGTGTTTTATAACATAATTAGAAAGAAAAATTTAAAAAATAATAATCTGGTTGGTGAACAGGGAACAAGTTAGATTTATATACCAATAATTAAGTAAAAATTTCTTCTAATAAATCAAAATTTGAATTCTTGTACCAGTTCCAGCGGTAAAACCGGGCGTGACGAGCGATTTTTATTAGCTGCAGGCTTGGCTCATTTAAAAATTTGACTAGGCTATCTTCGGAGAGCACAGCACTACCCAAATGTGAAGCACGCATCTCGGACAGAATGGTACATTTAGCCAAAAAGTGCTATGGTTTCTTTTTCCCTTGTATTACACATTTCTGTATCCTTCTGGCAGCCTATCAAGGGGGTAGAATTAAGGAAAAGAAGTTCAGTCTTAAAAGTATTGTCAATATAACAAAAATCGTAATTAAATTTTATTAATAAAAGCTTTTATCCGCGCACTCATCTGGGGTTGCCATATGGAACATAAAACATGCATAGAAATCGCTACACCTTACAATAAGAACTAGTCATCATCAGTGAAATACTCAAAACAGTGCGACAATTCGTTCTTATGATTCAACAACGCTTTAGACTTCGAAATCGGTACAGAGTGTTGTGATTCGATGTCGTAGATAGGTCATACCTGTTGATGGATGTACATATCGTTTTTCTCAAATAAACTTTATGCATTACAATGTTAGCGTATGTTTATCTTATTGAAAAACCCTGAAATACCTGTACATATGTTCATACATAACGTTGACGATACAAAGTACGATATTTCCTTAATATCGTGTGTAAATATACACACGCGACACAAAAAGTGACCGACTGGCATGCAGATAGAAGAATAACTTGGAAGCAAGAAATTCGTGAGTATTATCCGCGGTCATACTTGGTACTTATCACCTGGGTATAACGAGAGTCTGCAGTATAATTATTAGTTTGTACGTCGTAATTGTTCCTTAGTTAATCTATTATTCATACCTTACAACCTCTACATTCAAAATGTTATATTCGAACTCAATTTTAAACAATTTCCCCGTTGCTTTTCAAAAAGGGATTACTTTCAATGAAGTGTGCATTCATTAGGTAATTATATACTGTGAACAGGTGATTTTCTATATTGGATTTTCTTTATAATTATGACATCATTGTCACTCTCCTGGCAGACAACGAAAACATCAAGAAGGTCGGGGATTCTTTCGGAAAAAATTAAATGACCACGGGAAAATACATTTCACCATTTGTACCCAGTCAATTGTGTTTGTTGGTCAGCGAGCCAGTGAACACATGTTGAACTGATCGACACTGTCTATATATAGACAGACTAAGTAAAGTGATCAACATCGATCAGTTCCATGAACGACTAAAAGAGTTGTAAATTTATGTCTTACAGTTTATTTCAAAGGAAAAACAACTACATCTTATAAAATACCAGTCTTGATACATCGCAAAATGCTTCGTTTAAGAGTGATTAAATTGAATTAATTAATTATGTAGAATTAAATATATAGACTTTTACATCTTAGAGAGCAAAGAGGAAGGCGAAGAGGAGAGAAAGAAATAATAATAATAAGAAGAAGAGAAATAGAGTGAGAGTAGTGAGGGAGACAGTGAGATAAAAATGAATTGTTAAAAAAATAGTGTATAGTGTACGATCTGTAACCGGCCAAATGCTAAGTCGCAAACGGTTAGCAGAGAGAAAATGAATATAAGTAATATTTGAAGTGTAAATCTTTCATTTATGTTCTGTCAGTTGTAATAGCAATAAAAAGTTGTTTAACTAACTGCAAGTAAACTGAATAAAAATGAATGTAGGTATTTGTAATTTAGTCTTATTCTATCAACTTTAATTTAATTAACTAAGTTAGTTGGATATAACAAAATAGAAAATACAAACCAAAATCAAACGAATGTTAATCCTCATTTTTAATAACAGATTTACTTAGAATAGTAAATATGAAGATTACTCAATTTGTAAACAAACTACATGTCTCGTCTTTTATCCAGTTTAATCCAGTTGTATTCTCTCTAACCATGGAAAGACATCATCTTGAACCAGAAGTTCGCAATATTATTGTGAGAATGAGACATGGAGATCACTGGCAAGTGGATATCGCAGAACCTGGTCTCCCAAGCTTTTCCCAATTCCAAGAGACTGGCAGTGCCACACAAACTGCCCGATAATGGATCTCAGCGCATTACAACGCTAAGGGAGGACAGAAATATTGTCAGTGTTGCAAGACAAAACCCTTCCATAGTGCCCGCCTAGATCCTAACTGAAGTACAAAGATGTTTTGGCAAGGCCTTTATCAAAAGTTGGCTTCACGTCGTATGCCCGTCCCTTTGAGACTAACTGCAGCAACAGCCCGCCACCAACTCAGGAGAATATGGTGCAGCGAGCGCCTAGAAGAGAACAACAATTGTAATGCTGTTAGGTTTATTGCCAATGCCCCAGTTCGTGCTCCTTTCAGTGCAGTTTGGAGGAGGCGGTGTAATGTCCCATTGTCTCCAGACTTTAATACCATTGAGCACATGTGGGATGCGTCGCAGAGAAGGCTTTTGGACCACCTTTCGCATACACTTAACCTGCAATAATTGAGTTCAGCGTTGCAACATGTATGGAGTGAAATTCCTTATGAAATTAGTGGCAACCTTATCAACGGTATGATTAACAGGTGCAAAGAGATTTTAGCTAACAGAGGACGTTATACACACATATTAGACACTGCATTAATTCTGTCAAAACATTATTGAGTCCATTAAACAAAATTATGGAATTAAAACCTTTTATTTCGTTATTTTTAAAAATCCCTTAATTAAATTTTCCTTCGGTAAAAACCTTATAAATTCTAATAAATTTTAATGCAATTTATAATAAAAATAAAATAAAAATGCTAGGGAAAGTAAATACTACAAAATTGGCAATAGCCTCTATTCATTTTTGAGAAGTTCAATTTAAATTAGATTAAGTGATTAGATGTAATGTTGCTTTTATACTGTTTTAACTAGATAAACATAAAAACTTCCAAATCAAATTTTTATAATTAATTCATATTAAAAGCAAATTTCAATGTAAACATTTTTCATTAATCTAGTCTGTACTGCCCTGAATGCTGGTAATTTAATTACCGCAAGCTCGACAAGACGTTTAGCTGTTTTAGTTTTTTTATCTTACAGCCCCATTTCATGCCCTTTGTACTGACTTTTATGCGCTATGGTTGTTTTCAAGCAGTGTCAAATGCATCGGTAAACGCATGGATTTTATCTGTTTTGAAGGTTCTAAAATAATTCAAAAACCCTCATTTGTGAAAATTTAAACATTATTCTAACAAGAAATTAGAAAATTATCGAACCACGTCGGAAAATTCTCAAATAGTACCACCTCTAATCAAACACCCCGCCATCAGCGAAAAAGTACAAATCATCCACACCCCTTAAAACTAGCAAAAATACCAACATTTTACTCAACTCATCTTGTCTCATGCCTAAAACGTGCACGTTCTTCCAAGAAATCATAATTAGAAAGAAATCATGATTAAGGAATATATTGTTTATCATTATTATAAAATTTAACTAGAACTAAAAAAACAAGAATTTATTTCATCATACCTACCTCCACATGTTGTTTCATGTTGTCCACCCAATTCTTCTAATGTACATTCATACAAACATACATAACTCACTTGCACACAAATGACGTAGAAAAAACGTTCTAAGTTTCACTAGCTATTTCACGCCTACATTTTTTCATTTTAACGATTTTATGTACAAGTAAGAGCGCGTATAATTAAAACTAAAAAATATCAACTAATATTTTTTTCAGTTTTTTTTG